TTCTTTTGTAGTTCACTAAAGCTATAATTTATGTTCTCAGTACTTTGCCAACCATCTATTGAGTGTCGGCATTCAAGAACCATTTCAATTCCTGTAAAGCATACTCTCTTTTATGGATATTATATACTTGTCAGTGTATATTGTAGCTTCTGAGGACCAAGGATGCTTTAAAGTATACTTGTCAGTGTATATATTCTCTGATTGGAAGTAGCACCCTTTGAACTTTTCACCTTGGTTATAAATTTACAGGATGATGGAATCTGGTTTACTTCCATTGAAGGATGCGATGCAGGTATATGAGAAGAAAATGAAGAAGAGTAAGAGCCAAAGAGTTACTTCACCATCAAAACCTATGAAGACAGTCAAAGAAACCAAATCTGTGACTGTTAAAAAGAAAGTAGTTCCTTCCACCCCGAATTCCTCAGTCAAAAAGAAGACAATTGCAACCTCAACTGTGACAAAACATTCGAAGAAGCGCAAGGCTCCAAGCTCTGAAGAAGATCCAACATCTGAGGAAGATTCAGAAGATGATGATGATTATGTTCTGTCAAGGAAGAAGGTTAAAAAGGCTAGAGTCAATTAAGGAATGAAATCAGTGAAAATGTAGGGAATTCAAGTTGAGTGTGAAAATGTAGCTGCCCAGAATTGTATTGATCTGTCCTGCAGTACATTGTACTGTATGATTTGTAACCAACATTAGATCTCATTAGTGAATGTGTTTAGAAAAGCTCTAAAATTTCATTGGCCTGTTTGTTTCAATTTATGCTCCATAATATCTCGTTTTAAAAGTACAGTTTTTTTGTTTTTTTTTTTTTTTTAACTGATTTTGATCTGATAAGTACAGATTATTTCAAACAATATTGAATGATCCTAATAAAAATAGAGTTAATTAAATCAAAAATGCTAATAGTGCGACTTAAAAGTGTAACCCTATTCTTTAATTTCTTTATCCCTTTAGGTCCCGGTGATGTAAATCGTTATGCATAGCCCTACTTTAAATCTTTAATAGGCATGATAAGTTTGATCCTCGTCACAATCCCTCTCATTCACTAAAACAACATTCTACTTAACCCTCAACATATCCATGTTTTAATGAAATACTTTGTATTACTAATTGTGTAATAAGTCTTTTGTAATGTAGGCTTACATTAATTTAATTGTAAGATGGTTAATTAAGCGTAACTTTAATAATTTTTACGGATTCGGGTAACTTTTAATTTTTCATAAGTTTGATTGTATTTTAACGTGTAATATCTAATAAATACATGCTTTGAAAGCTAATATGATTAATTTAATACATTATAAATATTTTGTAAGGGTAAAATTTTTGTTATAAAAATGGTAACTTTTGTAGTATAAAAGGTAACTTTAAATATTTTTAGGATAACTTTTACCCATCTTACAATAACTTATTAAAAGTCCGCCTTAATCAAGAATTTGTGTTAATTGTGACTAGATATTAACTCTTTTTTTTTTTTTTTTTTTTTTTTTTTTTTTTTTTTTTGTAAGAAAGATATTCCCTCTATTTCAATTATTGTGATTCGATATTCCTCTATCTATACTTCTATACTTACTATATACTAAAGTAACCACCAAATTGAACACTTGGCACAAATCTATGAAAAAATTTCCCTCCAAAATGCTCTTTTTTTTTTAAATGAATTTGTATTAAAAAAAAATTGAAATTACTTTAACATAAAAAAATATTTATTTAACATACTCCCTCCGTTCCCGAAAGTTCGACTCACTTTGCATTTGCGTGGTATCCAATGAACATCTTTGACCGTGAATATTTTTGGCCATGTATGAGTAAAAATTACAAAAAGTTGATATTTGAAAATTTTATAATAAGGTGAATCTAATAAGATCCCACATGCTAAGTTATTTCTATTGTATAAGTCATAAAATGTGGTCATACTTATTTTATTTTGATTTCATGAATAGTAAGTTAGTCGAACTTTCAAAAACGGAGGTAGTACAAGAATTTTAAGGATATACATTCAACAAATTTAAATTTTTACAAAAAAAAAAAAAAAAAAAAAAAAAAAGTTACATATTTGTAAATCATTATTAATCAATCTTACCATTATTTTTTTTTTTTAACGGGATCTTACCATTAAGAGTCTGTGCATTTGTATAGGCCCTAAACTAGTTTTAGAATAAATGACACACATTGATGATAATAATAATAATAATAATAATAATAATAATAATAATAATAATAATAATAATAATAATAATAATAATAATAATAATAATAATAATAATAATAATAATAATAATAATTGACATATTACGATAGTAGATTGAGATCGCTATTATTAAAATGTATTTACCTTACCCTTGCATGCTTCCTTTTGTAACAAATATAAAGTGAATTTACGACTTTACTTTACATTCCACACACACACAAAAGTAAATTGATCAAATTGGTATAAAAATTAACACTCTTGTGAGTTATGACACATTGGTATAAAAGTTAACACAGACGACAAATTGATATTTAAGTTAGCAATCTTGTGACATATTGGTATAAAAGTTATCAAATAACGACATTTGACCCTTTTTTGCTCCCGGAGGAAGCGCGTATCATATAATTGTTTTTTTTTTTAAATTCTTGTATTTAACATCCATAATATTTTCTTATGATTATTGACAAATATTAACAATAAAATTTGTATGATAATAGAATTCTCAAAAAGACGAATAGAAAGAATAAGTGATAAATCTAAAGAATGGGGAAGAGGAGAAAATGTGTGGGAGAATAATTATTGATGAAAAAACATTGCTCATATTGGCATATTTGTAGAAATGGCAAGTAGCTAAATTACTTTATAACTATTACTTTTTTTTTTTTAATTTTTATTTCATATACTCTAATTATAATTTGGAGTTTTAGAAGTGAGTATTATTCTAGAGAAGGCCTAAGATTTTATGTCTTAAAACTTAAAATTAAACTAGTTGAAATTAACTTAAAGGTTGTAAAATTATAGAAATTAGGAACAATATACTCTTTTATATTGCAAAAATTGAAAGCTCAATGTAAAGCCAAAAATGTGTAATTAAATCTCCGATCTTGCATCTTTTCTTGAATAACTCTTTTGCATTATCTTGAATTTTACTCTATTTTATTTAATTTATTTATTTCTTTTTTTTTTATTCTTTGGCTGTTCTTTGTTTTTTTATAGTTCTAAAAATATTAAACTATACTATTTAACACTAAGAAAAAAAAAAGTAATAAATTTAAAAATAAGACTATGATACATACTTATGTGAACTTTTATACTAATTTATCACATTTTGCTAACTTTTTTATATCAATATATCACCGGTTATAAAATCACTATAATGTCAACACTTTTTATTTTTAGAAAATTCTGTCAAGTATTTGATAAACCAAAGAAGAAAGTTAAGTGACCGTGTAAAAAGTGTAAACATTACCATTAAAAATAACAAGATACAATTTATCATTTGAAATATTATTTCACCTCACTTGTTTAACAGTACAGAAAATAAATAGATAAATAAATTTCATACAAGCTCTCTTCAATTTTTAATTTTCATTTTTTTTATTGGAAACTAAAAAAAAAGCAAGAGATTGTCTCTTCGTCGGCGACCCCGAAATTAGGACCGTCATAAAAATCAATAATAATACTAAAACAGACATTGAGAGTGACATGTGTCATATCCTGGTGCTGTTTTTTTCCCTCCAAAACTCCCCCTCCCCTTTTAGAAAAAAATATTTTATTTTTGAAATTTTTTTTATAATAAAAATATAATAATATTATTCCAAACTTATATATTATCTCTATATAAAATGTATTCCTTTTTATTGCGTTCTAAAATTTTCCATGCACATTTACCTAAAATAGTTTTCCAACTCTTTTTTAATTATCTTTTAAACGAGTATTATTTAGTTTTACCGAAAAAGTAATAATAAAATTAATTCATATCGAAATAATTGATATTAAAGAAATTACTTTAAAACATCACTTTAATTTTTTTTTGTTGAATTCCTTTTTTTTTTTTTGTTTATTAGACTAATGGAGTATTAGATGTGACCATAAAATAAATGCTGTGTTCGACAACTATATTATATGTCTAATTCGAAAATTTAAAATATTAATCAATTTTTTGTTATTACATTATTAAAAAAGTTAATATCTTAGTATCTTTTGCTGAAACACTTTATTGAGATAATAATTTTATCACTTTACTGAGATAATAATAATTTTATCACTTTATTGAGATAATAATAATTTTATTAGACTAATGGAGTATTAGATGTGATGTATTCTTTTTTTTTTTTTGGATAAATAGCTATCATCGACAAATAAAATTTTAAGGCAATAAAACAATTAATAATGATCAAACTAGAATTATTGCACAGCTTTCAAACACATTTTTATATAATAACAAAAAGCGACAATATCATGTAGAGCAATCCGTAAACAAAAAATGTACTACTAATAATATAAGTTAGTGTTGCCTAATTATTGATTGTTATTGCCTTTAATGATCTAAGTAGTATTTATTTCTATTGAATTTATTTTATTGGATATAAAGATGATATATTATTTAATTTGTAATTTATATATTTACATACATGTTGGGTCAATTGTTTTACTGTAGATTTTAGTTTGTTATTTGATTAATGTTTTGATATTTATTAAAAGACATTTATTAATAAGTCTTTAGTCATATAGTCACTAGACTGTATTGTTTTATTGGGAATAATATGCATTATTAATGTAATATGATGTATACAATTTTTAAATATTTTCAACTCAACTAATCAACAATAATTTTTTTTTTGTTTCTCAATTGTAGTTTTAATAAATTTTGCCTTATTAGTTTTATATATATATATATATATATATATATATATATATACATTGTATTTATTTATTCCACATAAGTTGCCTTATTTTTATATTATATCAAAATTTATCATGGAAAAAAATTATTACTACCGTGCATCGCACGGACATTGATCTAATAAGTCATAAACAAAACCCTAACACGTGTCTATCATAGAAACAGTCCCTAGATTTCCACTATAAACATCTCTCCTCTCCTTCCTCCAACCCACTTCCTACCTCCTTTCCTTCACTTTCTCTCTCCTCTCCTAAATAAACCTCTTCATCTTCTCCCTCTTCCTAATCAACAACGATTCAATTCCTCCCTTTTAATAGTAAACATAATAATTATCAAACACCATTATTACTATTACCATCATTAACAAACAATGGTGATCAGTAGCAGTAACAACAACAATAATGAAGTAATATTGAGTGATGATGAAATTGATGTGGCTAATGTTTTACTGGACTTACCGTATCTGATTACAAACACACTTTCCAGTTATCGATTATCGTATGATTGGGGGTCAAAGAAGAGGAGATCTGCGCTTGTTTTCCCTCCGTCGTATTCGCCGCCGCGTTGTCGAAGAAAAGTGTCTGCTCAACTACCACCGCCGCCGCCACCGGTTAAGGCTGAAGCTTGTAGTCCTAACACTCCTTTGTCTTTCTCTCCTAGTGAGTCTGATTCCAAGTCTGTTATTGATCTCGATTTTAAGAAGAAAAAGCAACCTCCCTTGAATTTGGTATGTTTTTTTTTTTTTTTTAATATTTTAATTTCCGTTTTTTTTTTATTAAATTAATAATGATAATGTTCGTGTTTGTTATTAATTGAATTTAATTAAATTTTGGGGTTTTTTTTTTTTTATAGAGAAAGAAGGAATTGGAAGATAGCCTTAAGGAAAAAATGGTTACACAGCAGCATCTTAAAGAGGTGATTTTTTTTTTTTTTTTTAGGATTTTTTATTTAATATTATAAATGTGATGAATTGTTTTTTATTTAAAATTAATTAATAAAATTTTATTATTGTGCAGTCAGTCGACAAGGTGAGGGAATATCGTAACTCGCTAATGGTTGAAAATTCAATCTTGAAGGCTAGAAAGCACGAGGTAATTTTATTTTATTTTTTAATTTCAAGTCAAATTCGAGTCTCGAATAGGGTAACTTAATTCATTCATGTAATCGAATACGAGTCAATTTTATCATTACCTTTTTCTTTAAAACTCCATGAACATGAATGAATTACATACAGACATACAGTACTAAAATTATCACAAAGATTATCTATGTATATTTCTTTTATTTTTCCAATAAATTAATCTTTCAACTTGAAAGTGGGACCCTAATTACTTAATTTATTTTTTCAAAAATTTTACAGCTACTAATGCCAGCATGTACAACAACAACTCGAATGGAACAGCAACAACACCAACAAATAACAACTACAGTAGTCAATGATCGAGTACATGCGATTCCATCTACATCCAGTGAGTACCACCATCAAACACCGTTGATTCCGTCTTACGATCAGCGATCACCGTTGATTTCTACTTTTTTTCAATCAAACGGTGGTGGTAATAATTGGGTACATGCGAGTCCACTCCATCATCAACTAAACAGTGGTAATAATTGGGGTCTACAGTTCCAGCAATATCATAATCAATCTCAACCGTTGATTCTCAATCATCATGGAATGGTAAATGACCCAGTGTATGCGGTTGCAGCGAGTGGTGCAATGCAGATGCACTGCCCAGCACCGTTGATTCCTCGTCATCAGAATCAACGGTTGTTACCTGATCTTAATATGGAGTACAAAGATCAGGATCAGGTTTGCAGAGAACGGAGAGCGGCTAGACTTCAGGCTAATAAGGAGAAAAGGCCACGTGTCAATCCGGCAGTTAAGTAATTTTATGAAAAAAAAGAGAAGATAATATATTTTTTGTATTATTTGATAAATACTAATGATGAGGATTAGAAAGGGGTAAAAGTGTAAATTTGGAGAGATTGTAAGGGTTAAAATTAGAATAAGATGATTAACTTGAGCTGAAGATATTTTGGAATTTTTTTTTTATTGGGTGTTTAGAGAGCTACGAAGGCGGAAGTTGAAGAAGGGATTGTAGTTTCCTGTTGCTCAAACTGACACGTTTGTTAATTAAAATGTTAAGTTGTGAGATCTAGTGGCTGTTAACTTGGTCCTACTTTTAAGTTGGTACTACTAACCTACTATCCACTTCAACACTTCACAATTTTACATACTATACATTTTAATATTTCACATACTTTGCTCTGTTTTTTTAAATTGCAACATTTATTATTAGTTAATTTTATCATCAACACAGGATTTATTTTTATTACATGTTAAATATTATCCAAGTCGAAGCAACTCAACTTGGAAAAAAAAAAAAAAAAAACAAACTTTCGAAATGACCCAATCCAGATTTTGATTTAATTTGATCACAAACTAGTCAACAATTAAACTAAATCCAAAATGACTCAATTGGAAATTCTAAATTATAAAACACAAATGTTGCAACTTTAAAATAAATATGGTAAGGAAGTGTTTGCTAAAAGTGAATACTGAATCTACTGATTTGCACTTTATTTTTATTTTCTTTTTTCCTTTTTACTTTTTATGCACTATATTCTGTACTGATTATAATCTTGATAATCCTAAAACAAAAAAATTGAATATGACGTTAAGTCTCTGTAGAAGAATGAAATTCAGAAATTCCAAATCCAGTCATTTATGTAAAATGATCTTAATTTGGAATCTGCAAACTTTAGGATATAATCCTAGTAGTGTGGACCCCTTTCTTTTTCTTATACGGGTGACATACAAAGTATTAAAATATATCGTAGTAACTAGATAAATTAATTCGAAGTATATAATATAATACGATTAACAACATAGAAATTTCATTAAACAAAATATCCAAAAAAACAAAAGAAAAATTCTTTTATTTTCTACGTATCTCGAAAGAAAATTTTAGTATGAACAAAAATTTTGTTTTTAAAAAAATCATAGACTATCACTTACGGAGTAATGGTGTATCATTAACAATCTTTCCTTAAAAATTATCATGCCTAATTAATTTGTAAAGTATTCTTTATAAAGGAATAAAATATTCAACATACGTGAAATAAATCTTTGGTAATCTTCATGAAATATTTTAAATTGATTTGCTGACTTGTTAAATTAGGTAGGAATATTTTAGATCTTATACATGCCAATGAACCCAACTTAACCATTTATAACGAATAAATAAATATTTAAATAAATTGATAATGAATTTAAACGGATCAATGACTTTTAAGTTACTGATGGACTAATTGCAACTTCTAAGATGGGACAATCTCAGTATTATCATACTATGACACGGAATTTGTCACTTAGAATTCCAAAAATGTACTCTCGTATATAGATTAAATTATAAAAAAAAAAAGTGAATTGTTAAATCGCGTCCGGTATTTACCAGGTAACGCCCGTATCTTAACATGACATTACAAACATGCCCTCTTTTAAATTTTATCCAAATTTACTCTTACCCTAATTTACTTTCACACCTTATAAATTTACCCTATTTTCTTTTTACCCCACTAGCCACCGAATAGCCAGCGCCACCAGACAACCACCAGCCACCATTATTCATCATCCAAAAAAAAAAAAAAACCTTTATTCAAAAACGATTTACACAAGCGGTAAATGGACGAGTTTGCAGAATTGTCGACGCCACCGGAGTCGCCTGTGACTGTGAGTACTGATTAGGGGATTTTGCTCCCACCAATCACCATCTGACAAGTGGACCAATCAGGTTCCGCCATGTGTCCGCCACATGGGCCAATAGGAGCCTGCCACGTGTCAAGCAATGATCCGTCCACCTTGGACCAATTACGACACGACACGTGTCCTTCCCATGACACCTGGGATAACCGGTCACCTAGGCCCAACTTTCGAGGGAAGCCCAATCAGCCCAAGGTTAACCTAAACCTAGATTGGCACGTTTCCCGAGGTTATAAATACCTCCCTTAATCCTCATTAAGGGGGAGGACAGGCTGATCACGCTAAAAAAGCAGATTACCTACATTAAACACTCTCACCTAGAGAGACCCAATCACTTTAATTTCCGCATTAATTACTCCTTAATCAAGTACTAACTCGATCGTTGGAGGCGGAGCTCCCACCACAAGGAGTCTCCGTTGTTTTGCAGGTACAGGCGTCCGGTTCCAGTCTCGGAATTGTAACTCTCTCGCAGGACATCAGAAAACCCCGAAACATTTGGCGCCGTCTGTGGGGAGAGTACTTCTGAGATGGCATCCACGTTTGTACCGACTCCTGAAGAGAGACGTCCCCTGGACGACCCACTAGTTCAGTCGAACCACGATACTGAGAATGAATTTGAAGTTGAAGCTCACACAGCTTCAGACGGGACCCTAAGGGCCCGACGTACCCGTCATACCGAAAGGAGGGAACGGGAACATCTTCATACAGGAAGGGAGCCAGAAGGCGCACCGCCTGTTCGGCAACAGCCGACTGATGGGTCTGCTCCCATCACAAGGAACGAACTCATGACCTTCATGAGGGACTTCAAGGGAGAAATTCAAGAGTTGATCAACAAGAAGCCGCCTGCTCTGGACAAGGAGCAGTCGGCTAAGAAACCCTCCACTTCACAGAAGAGGAAGCCAGTTCAAGGGCGAGAGGCGACTCCTCATCCTAAATCTAGGAAGCGGGAGCCGACTGCCCTTAATTTCACAAAATACCGTTTTCCTACTCCAGGAACTAGGAAACCTGTTCGTCATATTCAGGCGGACGGGTCGAGGAAAACATACACAGACGCTCGGCTACTGCTAGAGCAGAAGAAGAGTGACCGATTGTCAGAGTCGGCCTCTACTTCAAACTTCCAAGACAGTCTGCGAAATACCTCGATGAGGCATACTCAGTCGTATCATGAGAGTCAGTCAGGCGGCACCTCCCGTCAGTCCGGCTTTCATAGCGACCAGGCGGTACCAAACTTACCGTTTGTACCGCAACAACAGTATTTCTTACAGCCACCTCCGTTTGGTGGACATGCAGCAAAAAACGTCCAACCTATGGACTGGCAGCTACGGTTGCTTAGACTTGGCGAACAGCCGTCGGCCTTCTCCAAGGAAATTACTGAAGCCGCTCAGCCGGCCAAAGTGAAAAATGTATTAGTAGGCGCCTATGACGGCACTACTAACCCAGAAGACCATCTGATGGCATTCACCAACCTGATGTACCTTCAAGGGTTGGATGATCCCACTTGGTGCAAGTGTTTCCCATCGAATCTCAAAGGAATCGCACAACAATGGTTCGGCAACCTGCCGACTGGTTGTGTAAATAGCTTCAGGACGCTTGCTTACTTATTCACCTCCAACTTCGCCATGAACATCCCTGTGAAGAAGACGACTCTTGATTTAGGAACAATTCAGCAGGGCGAGAAGGAGGGGCTTCGTTCTTACATCAGGCGGTTTAACCTGATGAGAATACAGATTCAAGGGTTACCGGATGAAGTAGCCTATACTGACTTTTTCAGAGGTCTCAAAGACGGGTCGACCTTCAAATTTGATTTGGTCCGAAAGAGGGTGGCGACTCTTCAAGAGGCCTTGATTGAAGCGGAAGCCTATATACAGGCGACTTATCTTTGTAGTACGGTAAAACAGTCGGACGGGAAAAGGTCCGACAAAAGAGAAGGACGACAGAAGCAGTCGTCCAACAAAGACGAGAAAAGAAAAGAGGTCTGGGCGGCTGATTCCTCTAAACAGCCGGCCCAGAAAAAGAAAAAGAATTCAAACCATAATCCCCAAAGTATGCGTTTAACAAGGATAGCCAGTTTATCCTAAAGGAAATCAAGGGACGGATCTCAATTGAGAAGCTGGTCCCCATGAAGGGTTCTGCAAACAACCGGAACCAAGATAAATTCTGTGCTTATCATGAAGATGTTGGTCATCACACCAATGAATGCATGAGTCTCATGCGGTATCTGGACCGCCTGGCTGAGCAAGGTGATCTTGACACTTATGTCAAGAAATCTACGGGGAACACTTCCTCGAAAAAGCAGTCGGCCAAAAAGAATCAACAGGCCGACAGCTCCGATACAGATGATGCAGTCGTCTACACCATTGCAGGCGGCTTCTCAGGAGGCGGCCCCACTATTAGGGGCAACAAAGACAATATCAGGCGGTTAGATGTAAATTCCGTTCACCAAGAACGACCCTCCAAATATTCATTTCCTGAGATTGTCATCACTGAAGAAGATCTAGGAGGGGTAAGAGGGCCGCATGACGACCCTATCGTTATTGAATGTAAAGTGGCCAACCAGAGAGTTGGCCGAATCCTCATAGATACCGGAAGCTCCTCAGATCTCATCAGTAGCAAATGTCTGTCGAAACTAAAATATCAGACTGATTGCATACATCCGGCATCCCACCCTTTAGTAGGGTTTGGAGGAGGAGTCGTCCACCCAGTGGGACGAGTGGATTTACCCATCCGCCTGGGCGAAAAAAGGGAAGGACGACACATGGTAGTCCGATTCCTGGTAGTAGAAGAACTCTCGGCCTACAACATGATTCTGGGACGACCAACCCTGAATAATTCCAAGGCTGTTATAATCCCATCTCTTATGTTGCTCAAGTTTGAGAGGGATAATGGAACAGTCGGGTCCCTAAGGGGAGATCAGAGGATGGCTCGTGAGTGCTATCTCTCGGATGTCAAGCCCACTGTTATGGCCACTGGGTCGAGCGGTGGAAAAATAGACCTTGACAATGTCAAGGAGAGTGCGCCTGTTCAAGAAGCAGGCGGCAAGAAGAGAAAGGCATCCCAGACAGGGGCCGCACGAAAAGACAGAAAATAGCAATCATTGGCAGAGGAGCGGTCGGATGAATTCCGCCCTCAGCCGGATGGTGAGCATACGGACCTGATCTTAGACGACTCGCGTCCTGACCGAACAGTCAAAGTTGGGACGACTGCTCTGAGAGTCCTGGGTGACGACTTTCACACACTATTGAAAGAATACAAGGACATCTTTGCATTCGAAGTCCATGAAATGCCAGGCATTAGTCCTGATCTGGCGGTACATAAACTGGTCGTGGATCCGAAAAAGAAGCCGGTACGACAGAAGAAGCGGAACCATGGAGAAGAAAGAAGTCAGGCGGCAGCCGCCGAAGTTAAAAAATTACTTGATGCAGGGTTCATTCGGCAATGCTACTTCCCAGACTGGGTTGCAAATGTGGTGCTTGTTAAAAAGCCGAATGGCACCTGGCGAATGTGTGTAGACTACACAG